GCTAAAACTATATAAAAAAGGGTTCCTGACCCCACTTCTAGCGCAAAAAAACATTGCGGCAGACATAACCGTCCCACAGCCTACAGTATTTCATAATTAAATTACTTCGGCTCGGAAGCAAAATGCGTTCACAAGTGTGTGCTACAAATTTTAGCTGTGTACAGTATCACACCGCTAAAATAGTGTTCCTTTCTTTATAATCTTTTACTGTTAAGTTTATTACGTTAGTACATGTAATAGGAAATATGGATGAGCCTAGCCTATAACTTTATAGCTTCAGGTTTCAGGCTTAATACTATTAATACTGAATGATAGGCTAGGGCTAGGCTTATAATTATAATTTTTATATAGGCTGCTAAATTTTTTATTAAAAAGAAAACTGATAAATTTACTCTAGAAGAGTCCGTCAAATAGTATTTTAACAGTAATTTTCCCTTGAATGTCTTCTGATCAGATCTAGCATAATTTTGGTATTTGAAGTAATAAGGACCAATACGATTTGTTACACACTATATGGCTTCCCTTAGGAGCGATCAATAACAGCAAGGCCTCAAAAATTAATATTATCATCGTGCGGCTAACACACTGACGTACAAAGCCAGTTTGGTCACGTGATACACCGAGATTACGGCCATATTGGCAAACTACAATGGCCCCCGGCTCAGGCTAGGACTTATTTTGTGAGTCATTCAACCGTATACTGTTCCCCCACTGCTACATCTTGGTTTGTTATAGCTGTTGCATTAGACCAAGGGGTCATTTATTGATCCCTTTATTGTATATTAATTTATCAAAAATAAATGGTAGTAGCTGCAAGGTGACATTTAAGGTAGGGAAAAAACGATTTGTTTGGCTATCCATCAGTGACTGGTTACTGTACAGGGCTAGATTTAACAGCTGAAAAACAGTGTTTTTGTACCAGCAGTTTTGTTTTTAATTTTTTTTTTCTCACAAACACTTTATTTTAAAAACACTTTGCTACAAAATGTGTGTTTTATATTATTTCTTGTTATTGAATATAATTAATTGATGATAATCTGAAAGTATCGATCGTTGCCATACAAACAAAATCCCGACAATCATGTTACAAAGACTAAGCGATCTAACGACCAGCCAGCAACGAACAAAGAGATTTCTGTCACAAATGTTGTTGCTTTAGCGTTCACTCCCTCTCTTTTACCTCAGCTGTTTTGGTCTTATCTTCTTGGTCTTTGTGTGGGCAAAGTACTTGGTAAACACACAGGACATCAAGTCAGTTAGAGTTAGGTCTATAAATAGGCCTATTTACTATTAAATTACTTCACTACTATTTAATTTAGGAATTGCTTTAACCAGTTTAAATTTAGTGGTCCTAGTAGTGTTTAAGTGAATGTAGTGGTCTTTCTCTTCAGGTCTATAGGTAAGATTATTAAGATAAATAAACAAGGCTAACTAAAGAATTTTTTTTTCTTAGTAAGAATTGAATTGTTTGCCTAATACTATCTTATGACATGAATAGTATGGTGAGAGTAAGATCTGTACCCTAGTGACCCTAGCTAGGTATAAGCAAATTAGATTTCTGTCTTGATACAATTAATAGGTTTCTAAACCTGGTGTAATATCAGTTCTATATATACTAATCACTATCAGCTATGTGACTGGTTGAAAGTAAAACAATCATTCATTAATATTTTTTCCATTTAAAGGTTTGATTTGAGTTTCCATTGTATTTTAGAATATTTGTGGAGTAGGCCTTTAGTTAAATAGTAGGGTTTGTATTGACATATTCACCTTTAAACTTTAAGCTTTAGCCAAACCTTAAAGGCAGTCAGTACAAAATATGGTCTATTTTTACAATAATAGGCCATGCCCATAGCCTTGCCTTGCACCTTCAGCAGTGCTTCTCAAAGTGCTGGTCATGAATTGGCATTCTTCAAGCCCAGTCCATACAATGAGTCAAGTAATTGAAAACTTAAATATGTTATATCAAAGATTTAATAAAAAGAAAATCAATAATAAACTATGACACTGGTCCCTGGTGCGATGAAAAGCTTGTCCAGGACCACCTGTGTGTGTTTCAGATCTTAAAAGTTTGAAGTTTGGAAAGAACTTTCCTGGAGGTTTGCAATAATGTTTCAAACAAATTTTTTAATTGGTTTTAAATTTGTAATAAAGGATTACACTGTAATTTGATCAGAGGCCAAAAGAAAAAGAAATTGTATGGCCTACCTAATTTCTTAAAGTAGACATATCCAATATTATTTAAAAAATAAATTATAATAAACGTACACATGTATAAAGGTAGACACCAAAACTAAGTAAAAATAGTTTTTGCACATACTGGCTATGAAAATTTTTAATCGAATAGTCAAAAAAAACAACTCAGGCCTCAGTTCAGATTTTTGGGCGCCTTTCATATTGTCTATTCTAGTAATAGACAATATGGAGTTGCTATAAATTAAAAAAAACAACAATCTAATCTAAAATTATTACCTAATCAATTATATCATGTATTTTTTATTCTCAAAAAAGAGAAACTTAAAACTTTTTAGATAAAAGTTAGCTTTATAGTCTCACTATTTTGAATAAGATGGATTTTGAAAGAATTTGCTACTCTTATTTTAATCTTTGTAATAATTTATAATGCTAGGCACAGTGTTATTTCTTGCAACCATCAAATCTTAATTTAGCAATAGTAATCTTCCACTTCTCATGAAAATAATTTACCAGTATTTAAAAAAAAACCGGTGATATGCAAAGGGTGTTATGCAGTACAAACTGCTAGGGTGGGTCCAGTTGAGCCCTATGAATAATAGTGTTTTCCAAGACCAAATTTGTTATTGTGGTGATGTGTATGCACAATGCAATAGACGCTTCCTGTTTCTGCCCTTTTGACAACAACACGCCATTGTCATCTGGGTAAATTCAGAGAAAGCGGCCCGAGTCTAATTCCATGGCCGCCATCTTGGTTGCCTCGACCCGCGCACTTTTACGTGTGCACGGGTCGAGGCAACCAAGATGGCGGCCATGGAAAAATAAAATAATTCACGTTTGCTAAAATTTGGAAGAAAATTTTGTAAAAAGTATGAAAAAATTGTTGGAAATCAATCCCTATGCCTAACCCTAAATCTATCCCTAACCCTAAATCGATCCCTATGCCTAACCCTAACCCTAAAGCGATCCCTATGCTTAACCCTAACCCTAAATTGATCCCTATGCCTAACCCTAACCCTAAATCTATCCCTAAGCATAACCTGAACCCTAAAAACTAGCCGTAAATCCACAAGCGAAAACACAATCCACAAGCGAAAACACGTGGAATTGCACACTTTGGGAAGAAAACTATAAAAATTAACAAAAAACAATAAAAAAGGGCCCCAAATGCCCAAATAATTATAAACTGAAGAAATAAGGAAAATCCAACTTACAGTTTCATGAAATACACTTTTACACACTTTATTTCAGGTTCCAAGGAAAATATAGCCACAAAATGAATAAATCTCCACACCCCACAGGCACCCCAAAGATATCAAACATGGCGGAACAAAAGAAATATGATAATGAGCCAACCAATGAAAATTTTACAATTATAATTAATCAACCAATAAAATTTTAATTCCGAAAATGTAACTCTTTTAACAAAAAAATAAAGGGAGTGAATCCAAATCAAAGTCGTCGTGGGCCACTAAATCTGAAATAGCCGTCATCTGATTACAAACATCTATAGAAACATCCATTTATGTCTAATAGTGTTGCGCAGTACCATTATTTAAAAAAAAAAATGCAACTGAGACTGCACACTTTTCTTCTCTCTCCTCTTCTTTTGCGTTCTCGCATATTAAATATCTGAGTGGCAAGCAACAATAAAGTCACAACTCTCAATTTTGCACAAAGCACTTAAAACGAAAGCATACATCAAGTCTTAATTTAAAGTTATTTTTTTAACCTGCAATAATGTAACAGCGGAATATTGCAAAATAACAATCAACTTAATACGGTCACAAAATAAGGTGGTGCAGTCCATACAACTGGCATATTCATAGTTTTAAATTTGTTATAAACCCATCAAATGAACACATGAAAATGTATACTTCTGTTTAAATCCACTGCAAAAAAACTACTAACGTTAGTTGATGTTATCGATCTTGTATGAAAATGGTTCAATGTGGCTCTTAAAAATATTGTCATCCTTGAGCTAGTTCAGAGGTTCCCAAACTTATTTGGCCTACCGCCCCCCCTTTTCAAAAAAATAAATACTCTGGGCCGCCACCTGAAATATTCATTCTTTAAGCGAACAAACAGAAAGATATATGCATCCGAGGCTACTATATATTCTCGTAAATGAATAGGTGTAGAAAAAACTCTTTGCTGCTATCGGCCATTATCAATATTATTTTTGTATACCCCCAAGCGGTCCCCTGCATACCCCCCCATTGTTGCTTCTTTTTTTCTCACACAGTTTTCATCACAAAATTATGGCTTAAGAAAACACTATTCATCAAAAAATGTATCTATTATAATTTATGGTCATGCTTGTTGGAGACTGATTTGTTCTACATTATTTATTTTAATTGAAATTGTTATTTGAACAGCCATTGTCAACTTTCAACCATAAATTTTATTTATTAATTAATGAATATAATGAATTATAAAGACTTAACCAGAGCTTTTTTTTCTTTTGCAGGGATGATTCTTATTACACTATTCCGATGTGAATGATGCTGCCAAGATGTCAAAAGATAAAAGCAAACGCAATGAAGACTAGGCAGTTTGGTCAATTTACTACAGAAAACAAATACAAAGTGGTTATAATTTTTAAAAAACAAGCAACATCTTTGCTTATGTAAAGGCATAGCTTTCTAAAGATCTGATTTCGATGTTTGTGTTAATGTGGATATTCTGAGAGGATATTTTCATGGAAATTTCAATTTTTTAAATTCTTAACACAGTCTGTTTTCCAATTGGAATTTGAAGCCATAACTATTTTTTACACCTTGTTTATAAAAATTAAAACATTGTCATTAGCTTTTATGACTCATTCCAAATCTAGATTAAAACATTTGAGATTTCACTCATCTCTCTGTGTTGAATGTACGTGTGCGTTCAGACAGTAACAACCATAGGGGGACTACGAGAGCAAAGGATGAACATGGGGCAGAAAGTCTCAGGGGGAATCAAGACCATCTCCAATGCCAGAGAACCAACTTACAAAGCTATTAACCGTGAACCTGCATACAATCCAGATTTTCAGAAACCAAGTAGGCTGGATGCTCTGCTTGATATGCCGCCATCTTCTCGGGAAGTTCAAATCAAGCACGCTTGGAATGCAGATGATAGATCGCTGAATATATTTGTCAAAGATGATGACCAAATGACCTTCCATAGACACCCAGTTGCCCAAAGCACTGACTGCATCCGAGGCAGGTTTGGATACACTCGGGGTCTCCATGTTTGGGAAATATTCTGGAGTACAAGGCAACGGGGCACTCATGCTGTTGTGGGGGTGGCCACAAGTGAGGCCCCATTACACTGTGTCGGATATCAGAGCCTTGTTGGTAGTAACAAAGACTCGTGGGGTTGGGATCTGGGTAGAAATAAACTCTACCATGACATGAAAAACACACCGGGAGTCACATATCCAACTTTACTAAACTCTGATGAAAACTTCGTTGTACCAGACAGTTTTCTAGTCGTCTTAGATATGGATGAAGGGACATTAAGTTTTGTGGTAGATGGACAGTATTTAGGCGTAGCCTTCAGGGGTCTCAAAGGGAAGAAACTCTACCCAATTGTGAGTGCTGTCTGGGGTCATTGTGAAATTACCATGAAGTACATTGGAGGATTAGATCGTAAGTATATTTAAATTGTTAACATTTATTGACATTCTGTATGTACATTTATTAGTTGGCCACCTGAAATCGCTTCAGCCATTCACACTAATTTTTAACACGCAATAAACATTCAAGCACTAGCCTATATCCGTTTTGGCACCATGTATGCTATCTAGATTCATTTTATCCAGATCAGATTACTTTTTATTTGATTTAGAGATGATGAATAAGGTGATTTGAATATGGCAGCAAGTGATCCATTTGTGATGTTTAGTAAATTGATTCTAATTGTTAAGAAAGTCAGAAAAGGCAATACCTGGTACAAATTTTAAAATTCAGATTTATTGGTTATAAGCAATATTCTTAGTGTAAGACATAACAAAAAATATTTGTAGTAGTTTCATATCACGTTTTATCAGACCGAAAGCTCAGCAGGGAATCTGTTATAAAATAGATGTTTCCTAAGTTAACTCAACCAAGAAGTAGTTAAAATTTTGACACTGGCGAAGTCCCTAATTATGAGCAACTATTTGGCTGGAATAGACTTATGAGCCTTGAAGAAACCCTGAATTAAACCTGAATTAAATACCCCACAATAACTTGTTAGGGTCATATGTATTGTGTTGTCGGGAGCAAAATATAGTTGCACAAAATGGCTCTGATGCTACCAGTTCAGATTAAAATTCAATTTTAAATATAGAAGTAACAATATTTCTGTAAAATGTTCTTTATATTAACATGATTCAGTTTAAGATAATTTCTGTCTGAAAAATTATAAATTGTCATGTTAAGTCTTAAATTAAGTTAAAATTATTTAGTTAAAAAATTAAAAAGTATCTAGAGTGTTTTCCCTTGACAAATAATTTCAAACAACTTTCATTAGCTCAGTTACTTTTGAACAATATTTACTTAGGATAAAAGAATGTACAAAGAAGTGTTTGTAATCTCCTGGATAAAGTGTTTAAAACAAAAAAAGAGTTTTTCAACTTGTATAAACAATGAATTCAACAAATATGATTTTTAGTAGAAAAAAAGGAATACATTTATTATATACTAGCTATAACCCTTCAAGGACACAATGCATGATTTTCCCATCTACTAAATTTACTTGATGAAATATACACTCAAGTAATGCACTTTATAAAAATCCAAAGAATCCTAATTAGTGCCCCCTTTCCCTCCCAGGTTCATAACCGCACACTTTTTAAATGCTCTGAACTATATTAATATTCTAATGTCCCAAACACTTTTACATTTCCGCAAGGCAAAAGAAAATATTAAGCACACAACGGTCTTGCATATTTCTTTAAGAATCTCACTTAGCGCAGATATCAGGAATTTGTTTCAGTGAAATCAGCGAAACCCATTAGCAGTAAGTTACATAGTTACAAAGAGAATTAAGTATTTTGATTTATATAAATATTATTTGACAGATTCATTGGGTTTACAAAAGTCACCTTTTGATAAAAAAAAATGTCTATCCCTTGGTAAAGCTATAAAATATGCTTATCATAAACTAGTCTTGAAATTATTGGTCTCGTCCCCTCTTGTTGGAAATTGCAGGAAAACAAGTATTTGGATAAAATATCAGTTTTAAGAGTAACATATTATATGTGCTTCAAAATTGTTTTGTTTTTTAAAATTTCTATTTAGAGAAGAAATTAAAAAAAATTGATATCTGGTTTGCAATGTTTTAATATTTTTACATGTTTATGTGTAATTAATTTATTTTTCATTATCTTCCCAGCTGAGCCACTACCTCTAATGGATATATGCCGAAGGACAATACGGGCACAACTAGGCAAACACAGACTTCAAGAGACACACTCCCTTCCCATACCCACTTCACTAAAACAATATCTGCTCTACCAGTCATAGCATCGAGTCAACAGCTATATGCACAGCATCACTAGCCATCACATTTCTCTTCATTCATCTCAAAACATTGCAGACAGCTGTCATTAACTGTCACCATATCCTACTGATAGTCCTATAGTTGGAATCCTATATTTCTTCTTGTTATGATTGTTGTTATTTATTTATTAGTTGTTGTAACGGGCACATTGCCAGCACTCTCACAGTCGATGTTAGCATCATCATCATCATAATCATCATTTCATTGATCACTGATGGGCCTCCTTTTTTTAAAAGTTGTGACACTGTATATTAAAACTGCATTTTAACTGTTGACAATTATATTTTTGTTGTTGTAGTTATTCTAAAAATTTCCATCATGTGTGAACAATATTGATACAATCGGTAATAATAATCTTAACAACAGATAAAGTGATGAGAGGTAATGTTGTATGTTTTTACTAAATGGCTTTTGGCTCATGACATTTGTGACACATTTTAACAGTTGTGCTAGTTTAAGGATAATAATTATTTGAAGTTGAAGTTTTCTGTTAAATATTATGCCATAGAATAATTATTTATGGAGAATTAGAAAGAAAGTGCACATATTTTTGTATGCTTTTAACTTATGACACAAATATTTAGACATGACAAACACATGAATTTGGGGTGATGAAAAGAATATTTAGTTCCATTATGTATGTCAAAGATTTGTTCAATAGGTCTTAATAGCAATTTTGGAATAGCAGAATAGCATTTTGCAAGGGTCTCTTTTTCATTACATTTGCTATATGGGACCTTTTGGAATGGTGAGGCTATGTTAACTAGGAATTGGGACAGCAAAAAATCAATTGGATGTTTCATCTATATGGTGCCTCATTTTTTCAAATTGTTGTAAAAAATATATTTGCCAAAAATACGCTGGCTACTGAGAAAAAGATTCTGGATCTTGAATTATTTTCAGATTTCTTTACACCTTGAAATGGGGTCCAACAGAAAAAGTAGCTTATCAGAATTTATTTTAGAATCCCTGTTTTATTACAGTAATTAATGTTAAGATTTCAAAAAGATTTAACCCTCGAACTGTAGTGCAACTTCCAATCCAATATTTAAACGGAAACAGAGCCACTTCCTTTTATTAATAATTAAATCAACTTCAGGGTCAAGCTGTTTCTTGATAACTTAAAAATAAGTACTTTTTAATCTGAGCTTTATATCACTGTTTTTTTTTAAAGCTAAAATGGATGAAGCCATGGCTGGGGTTTCAGTACGAGAACTAATATACATATTTTTGAAAGCTTTTTAGGAGATAATTTAAGAGATACTGATGATGATTTTAACATTCCCCATGACATCTCACTTCAGATATTCTTTTCGTGAATCTGATACTACTAGTCTTAGTGATACTGAAGTAGGTCTACTGTTAGACTTCGAGCCAGACCCGGAGGTTGGGCAAGGACTAACAGAATTTTAGTCACAGAAGCTACAGATTATAGATCAAAACTAATAGATTTTATAGTTTAACAACCCAAATCAGTTCCACAGTTCCTTTAAAATGTTTACTAGTCAATAATAACTATTTTGCCTGAGATTTTGTATGTTGTACTTGGTTTAATCTGTGGTCCTTGCTTCTTATTTTCTTCAATAATAAATGACCTAAAATTACTGAAATTGCTCAAAGGTTAAATTGTAATCAAAACCTTAGCAAACTATATATTTTCTGAAAGATAAATGAATTGGCTACAACATTTAGATAGTGTTTTAAGTGTATCTATGAAAATTAATGATGTTATGAACACTTGAAAGCAAGACATTTTGTTGATTTTTTTTCCTTGAACACTTCAAGGTCAAGGACACTGAGCAAAATGTTTACGTTGTGGGCAATATAGCCAACTTCATCCCCATCCATATACCTTTCTAAAAATATATACTTATTGGGGTCTTGTATCAATATTTCTATGTCATTTAATGCAATTTCAAAAGACACTCAAAAAGTTCTGAAAAGCTCCCAAACTACAGAATGATGCATGCCACAGTTCGAGGGTTAAGTAACATAGAAATCATCTCAGTATTTCTAACTATTACCTTATTTTGCAAAAGTGTTTTTATTTGAAGTTAATTTATAATGACTGAAGTATATTGATGTCCATGACTTTTCTAGCAACTGTTATTTTGTTTTAAAAGCTACTATTAATGGTGGCAATAAATAAAGTATTAATTTCATATGCCGCAAGCAAGCGACAGATTATAAATTTAAAAAAAACAACTATACTGTCTTATCATTGGTAAGATCAATATGTACACAGTCCACCACATCTTTTAGCAGGACAATTGAAACCTGCATTTCTTTTGTCACTGTTTATGTTCACTCAAATAAAAATAGTGAGATGAATCTTTACGAAGTTTGTTTAAAGACATGCTTTATGTTAATTAAAAAAAAAATGTTATGCTTCATTTAATTAAGTTCAGCTATTTCTAGATCAACCCCTGTGTAAATTTGTTGTTTGAATATTAGAGCTTAATTGTACACTTAATTAGAAATTACTACACTTGAACTGAAACATTATTTTCATTTTTTTAAAGACATTATTTGAAGCAAATATCTTAGGGTGGAATGAACCATCATTACCTTTCAGATTTTTGAAGAAAACATTTCAGGTATTTAAAGAAAACATTTCAGATATTTTAAGAAAACATTTCAGATATTTTAAGAAAACATTGGCATACTGGGATGATAAGTCTGTCTATTTATTTGTTAAAGAATATTAGCAATAACCTTGGCATCAGTTCCATTTACCATGAAAAGAGATTAGTATGTATTTTTTTTGTTTATTTTTAAAATCAGAATTGGTGGAGTTAAAACAAACAACACAGCTGTGATCTCATTGCATTTATTTTACAATTTTGTTCAATTGAAATATTTTTTATTTTGAAACAATGAATGAGATTAACAAAAAGTCATCCTTTCGGGAATATTTTATTATTTAATTTCTCATGATGTGCTATGTTCAAAACTTGTGCTCTTTTTGAATAACTGAATTACTAAGTGATGAACTTCGAATTTGAGTAATGATTAAAAGTGTACTGGTAGCTTTAGTTTTACCTTTAGAAAAAAAACCAGTCATACAGATAAATTAACCTCATAATATCCCTTTGTTTTGTGTAGTCATTATTTCATTAATATATGTGTCGTATACCAAGGTCCATACCAGGAATGTGCACATTTGGATAAATAGCTCATGGTAGCAGACTGGCCAAGCAAAAAGTTAATGGAAATATGATCAACACGTAGCATATCTTTTTGAGGCTTTATTGAAGATTCACTTTGTAAAATAGTGCTTTAGTCATTTACAGTAAAAACAGAATTTTCTAGGCTTATTATAGTCGGCGAATCCAGATAAACGATGATGTACAATAAATAATAAAAGGTTTTAAATGACTTCGGGAAAACGTAATACCAGTTTCATGTAACTTAAGTTGTAAAATTTAAAAGTTTGAAAAAAAACAAAAACACAATTGTATTTGGGTGCTTCAAGTTCAAGCCCTTAAATATTTTATTGCTGGGTTGATCCCACTGATCCAAGTTTTGTTACTTTCCATGTCAATATTTGACTCTGTAAGCTATGAGGATCTGTAAATGTACCTACGTTTGATGGTTACTTCTATCCCAAGAGTTAACTTTCAGTTCCTGACTTCTATTTTACCTATTAAACATTTCTGTCCTTTCCCTCGCCATCATCTGATGACTAAAGGTTAATATAAACTTTTTAACAACAGGGCATTTTAAGTTTCCCAGTTAGAGTGTTTTCTGTGCTGTTGGTGATGTTCCCATTGTGCGCTCTTAGGTCAACATGCAACCTGAATCTCCATTCCGCCAACATTGAATAATATCTGTTGTATTCTTCAAAGTTAGGACAAATTTGTGGTCAAGGGACTTGAGACCATTCTTCCATGTATTTCTAACTAAGTGACGTTTTATCGATCAACTTTGGGCTCCAGTATTTCAAGCTCTGTCAGTGACACTGTCGGTAAATTAAGTATATTTTTTTAAAAAATTTCAAGATTAACTTTACATGTTAGATGAATCAGTATCAGACAACATCAGTTAATCTTTCTCATCTTCTTAAAATCTGCAGATTCCTTCTAGGTAGCAAAACTCATTTTTTTTTTTGGATATGACTAACCTGTTATTGTTATTTTACTATTTAGTCTGGGTATTTTAATTTTATCTGAAAGTGATAAAGACTTTATTTTGAGTTAAAGAGATGTTTGTGAGTGTGGAATGGATATGATTGTATTATTTTCTATTTTGATGACCACCCGAAGGCTTGTGTTTATGAATATCTATACGATCAACTATCTAAAGAATGTCTGAAAAGTAATTTCATAAAATAGATCAGTGATCTTACTCCAAATATTACCACTGAGTTATTAGTAAACTTAGCGCCATAATTATTTAAATTTGAAAGTTGATTAAATTCCATTTCATCACATTTTTTGACAATTATAATTTATTTGAATATCTTATAGTTCATTATGCTTTATTGAAATTTATGTTCAAGAAAATATTATCGGGCCTGCATGTAACTAAATTTTGATAAAACAGGTTAAAGCAATAGTTTGAAAATAAAATTAATAATATACTTAAATAGGGTATTAACAAATGTGTCAAGCATTGTGACACCACTACTTCATTTCTTTGCAGTTGTTACAAATGAACACAGGGTCTTTTATAACATTCTTGGCTTTTTAGATTACATTTTTAATAACAGACATAGCAAACTGATTCCTCTGGCATCAGTGATTTGATGAATTTGATGGGATTTTTTCAGCACTTTTTTTACATTGCAATTTTGAGTTATCAAGTTAATTTTTGAAAAAAACCTGTTTTTTTAATTAGCAATGTCTGGGAAAAGAAACGATTCTATTTCTATATATCTGGTTAAGAAAGAATATCATATCTTTATTTGGCGATGTCCTGTGGATTTAAAAAAAAAGCCTTGCTGAAAAGTGGTAGAAATGGGGAAAGAGTCCATGTTTTTTTGTAACCACACATCACCTGTAAATTTTAACATTGAAATTTTAACTTCTGTGT